CTCCTGTCTGGAAGGGATGTTTCCGTTGAGAGGAAACTGTCCCACAACACAGATGTGGCACAGCGTGAAAACTAAAACCTGCCCTCTCCTCCTGCTCTGTCCTCCACAGCGAGATGAACCGGCTGGTGAGCCTGGATCGGATGCGACAGAGTGGTGTCTTCCTGTCCACCAGCGAAACGCTGATTCTGCAGCTGGTAAAGGACTCTACCCACCCACGGTTCAAGGAGGTAAAGGCCCTTCTCAGTCACCCGGGAGTAGAGAAGTGGTTCCCGTCCTCCATTTCTTTCTCCCTTTTATTTTGTCTTACTGCTTGTTTTGCCTGTATGTATGTCCGTGCCCTGCTTGTGTGCCTGGCCCTTCGCGCCCTCATTGGGTTCCCTGAACTAGAGTTAGAGACGTCTGTGAGCCATCAAGTGGGTGCTGGAAATCAAATCCGGAACCTCTGGACGAGCAGCCACTACTCCTAACTGCTGAGCCAAGAAACCAGCCCGCGTTTTTTGTTTGTTTGTTTGTTTCTGTTCGTTTGTTTGGATGGCGGTTTCTCTGTGTAGCCCTGGTTATCCTGGAGCTTGCACTGTATACTAGGCTGGTCTCAAACTCACTGAGATGCTCCTGCCTCTGCCTCCTAAGTGCTAGGAATAAAGGCGTAAGGCGTGAGCCATCACCACCCAGCTGCTCTTTTTTTTATTTTTAATGTGGTGGTGATGGAACCTAGGGCTTTAAGCCTGCTAGGGAAATACCCTGCTGATTGAGCTGTATTTCCAGCCCTATTTATTTGTTTGTTTTATTTTTTTAAAAAAGATTTATTTATTTATTTATGTATAAAGTGTTCTGCCTGCATGTATGCCTACACACCAGAAGAGTGTACCAGATCTCATTATAGATGGTCGTGAGCCACCATGTGGTTGCTGGGAATTGAACTCAGGCCCTTTGAAGGAGCAGCCAGTGCTCTTAACGTTTGAGCCATCTCTCCAGGCTGTCTAGCCCAGGCTGGCCTCAAACTCGTGATCCTCCTGCCTCCAACTCCTTCAGCAAATCGTACTGGCGTGTGCCACTACACTGGCTGTTTCTTTCTTCTGATAGTACGGGCGTGTGTGGCACACACTGCTTGCTGGCGGTGTGTGCAGTCAGAGAACAACTTTTAGTGGTCAGTTTTTTCCCACCTCCTGGGCTCTGGGGAATTGGACTCAGGTTCGGCTAGCATCACAAGCACTTCCGCTTGATGAGGCATCTGGCTGGCCCCCTGTCTTTTGTTTGTTTTAGTTTGGTTTTTGATTTCTCGAGACAAGGTTTCTCTGTATAACCCTGGCAGTCCTGGAACTTCTCTGTAGACCAGAATGGCTTCAAACTGGCAGAAATCCGCCTGCTTCTGCCTCCCCAAGTGCTGGGATTAAAGGCATGCACCACCACCACCCTGCTGTTGCTTTGCTTTTGAGATAGGGTCTCACTATGTAGACTGCCCTTTGGAACTTAATGTGGAGACCAGGCTATCCTCATGGAGATCCGCCTGCCTCTGCCTCCTGAGGTCTGGGGTTAGAGGTGTGCTTCACCACCACCCCCGTTGTGGCACTCCCGAGGTCTGGGGTTAGAAGTGTGCTCCACCACCCCGTTGTGGCACTCTTGAGGTGCAGGCAAGCAGGGTCATCCTTGGCTACTTGGTAAGTTTGAGTGGTGCTATGTTGGACCCTGTTTCCCACCCCAAAAGAAAAAGGTCACCTCACGCTCATTAACAATATAACCTGGAGCGGGACTGTGAAGAGGAGTGAAAGAATGGGAATGGGGAACCTTGAGCCCGAGACCGGGAGGCTGTTCCAGGAGGTAGCTGGAGCCAAGGTCAAGAGCTAGGGCTGAGTTTGCCTTCTTCCAAGAATTGTGTGTAGCTGAGTGTGGCCAACACTGGCAGGTTGGGGAGGAGGGGGAAACTCTTAGGAAAAATTTGGGGTTGCACAATAGCCCAGCTAATGGGGTGCCCCAGAGCAGGTCATGGATGTGGCTGCCATCAGGTAGCTGTCTAGCCTTGGCAAGGCCCTACGCTCTATCCCAGCAACACCAACATTTATTTCTTTACAAGAAGTAAAGAAAGCCTGTGTGGGGAGTGTTTGCCTGGTCCATAGAGCCCCAGAGTGGATAGGGTAGGAGTCAGCTCCCTCTCGGTAAGACTGCATGCATGCTTTGGGGTTTCTCTTCTTCCTACTAGGGAATCCCAGAGGCTACTGGGGCTGCAGGAAGAGAAAAAACAACTCTCTTTGTTCCTAAAATCTATTTTAAGATATCTTAATAAACTTTAACTATGCTTCATTTAAAAGAAAAAAAGAAAAGAATAGGAGCTGGCCAGGCGGTGGTGGGGCACGCAGAGGCAGGGGGATCTCTGTGAGTTCGAGGCCAGCCTGGCCTACAAGAGCTAGTTCCAGGACAGGCTCCAAAGCTACCCTGTAGGGTTTTGTTTTTAGAGAAACCCTGTCTCGAAAAACGAAAACAAACAACAAACAAAAAAAAAGGAGCTGGCCACCATGGAATTGGAATAGCCAAGGGATTTCGCTGGTGGCCTGGAACAAAAGAGAGGCCAGCTTTCACGCCTCCTCCGGTCAGTAGTGGGACTTAACTAGGAAGAGGCAGTGGAAATGCGGGATTTGCGGGTTTGTTTAGTATTCTGGAGATACACTTGACTGAACTGGCTGGTTGACGGTAATGGGATTGGTTCCTCCTGTTCAACCAAGAGACCCTTGTGTGCGTGAATTGAGAGTCCATGCTCACAGTGTGGGTCTGTGTGGGAACTGAGGGCTTAAAGGAATGACGGGAAGGTTGAGATTGGTGAAGAAGAGGGCAGTGTTGGCAAGAGAGACCAAAGTACACTCATCCACCCTTAGTGGTCCAAGGCAACAGAGCAGACCAACATGAGGGTGGGGTGTAGCTCAACCTGGTGAGTGTGAGGAAGAGGCCACCAAGAAAACTTCTAAGTGGTTGACCGGAGAAGTGATGCTGTGGGAATAGTAAGGGGATGAAGATGAAGAGGTGCTCCTCGGATTCGATATCATGAAGATGGAAAGGACGGTTCTTGACTTCTTGGCCTCCTCTGCCTGCAGATTCAGAAGATCGTTAAGGAGCCAGTCCCAGACATCGGACTTCTAAGCTTCTTCCAAGGCAAGAACAACCCACTGTTGCTAAACTCCAGGCCCTGACTTGAAGGAAAAACCCACCCTCCTTGTCACCCAGACGTTGATGGATGTCTTTTCCTTCATCCATGGATCCCAAGAGTGGTGCAGTCCGCCAGGAGAACTGCCCCCGTGGGGGAGGAGGCGTGGTTTTGCCTTCTTATTGGACAGTTGGTCCCGGAAATGCAAATGAGACTCCTGTTGCTGGGTGGGAATTGGCTAAGGAAAAGGTGGAGGCGGGGCTGGGCCCCGGGCCACTTCACGGAGCGGGAAAAGGAGGGGGAAGGAATGTCACAACTGGGACCCGGTCTCAGAGAATAAACATTGATGTGGCTGAGGACCGAACCATTATTGGGTTTGGGGGGCATCATAGGGGCTACAGGGGTCTGTGGGAGGAAGAAAGTGGGGTCTCCTGCAAGTGGGGTGGGGGAGGCGCCTCTTCTGAGCTCCAAGCCGGCGAGACACAGGCGAGGGCTGGCGGCGGCCACATCTGCACTGGGGGGGCCGGTGCGCATCTGCACGAGAAAGAGCTGCCGGCCAGGGTCCCCGCCACGCTGCCTGACGCCCCCACCCCCATCGGCGCGCGCGCGCGCCCAGCCCCGCTGGCTGGCAGACACGCGCTCGCGCTGCCTCCCTTGGCTGGCCCCCACGCTACCACCCCCGACTCCCCGAGGGTCCCGCATCCGGAAAGTGAGGTGAGCGCATCTGTACCTGGTGAGAAGGGGGAAACTGAGGCACGGGGGAAAGAGGGGAATAGGGAGGAATGGACAAGTGTATGAATGGATGGATAGATGGGATGGACAGCTGCTGATCAGTGGTTCGTACTCGCCCAAGACGCAGAATTCTGCAGCCCCTAAGGAGATCAGAGTGTTGAAACTCTACAGAAGCCCCCCTCAACCTCCACCGCGTCAAACCCTCACCCAAGATTTACAGATTCCTTCCCCAGTCTTGGAAGCCCTTAGAAGGCATCCTGTGTCCGCCAAGGATGCACGAACCAGTCCGATCCCATTGACAGACTCACCCTACCACCACCGCGGATCCTCGCAGCCCAGCCCCCTCCCAAAAGGCCTGTCACTCCTAGTCCAGCATACCCTCCCCGGGGACCTAGGAGTACCAGCCATCCTCCGGAGCCCCTTGGGACACGGGCGTCGGAACCCCGGCCCCCGCCTTCCGGATCCAGGTGTCCCCTCCGCACACCCAGCCCGAAGCCTGCGTCTCGAGGCCGCGCTCGCGTCGCCATGGCAACCGGAGTCTATTTTGCGCCGGGAACACACAGCTCCCTCTGCAGCGCCCCCCACCCACCCTGCTTAAGAGTAGGGGTCTCAAAGGGCTGGGATGGGGAGGCAATGCCGTGATGGGAATCAGACAGAAGCCTGGGACAGGCGTGCAGAGATTGAGAGCCCCTGACAGAAGTACTGGGTGTGGAGACTACAGGGAGGATACAGCTCCAGGCGGGGGAGGCTGGAGATGGAGGCCCCAGACAGAGATCCGGGACAGAGCCCCAGACAGACGCAGAGATGCAGAGAGCCCGAAGCAAGGGCCCGATGGCAGAGTCGGGTTAAAAGGAGAGAGAAAACAGCCGGTTGGATGGAGGCAGGGGTCCTGACAAGAGGATGCACTGAGTGTCTATCTAGGCAGGGACCCCAGACAGCCCAGATAGAGTAGAGCTGTAATGTTGGGGGAGACCCACTCTTTCCTCTGGCAAGGATTTGGGGAATCTTTCCCGGTTGCCAGGACCGGCTCCGCTTCCCTCCCTCTGCTTCTTCCACAGGTTTTCAGTTTTGCCTGATTTCCGCATTCCTACCTCAAACTGTTTTTCCAATCCCCGAGATTCCTAGGAACCCCCTCCACTTGCTCTCCAACCCCTGCCCTGATCTGCTCTCCCGCTACCTCCTCCACCACTGCCACCTGCAGACCCCACTTAGGCCATTTTAGAGGCTTTGGTCCTTGTTGGTTATGCCCTCCTTCTCTGGGTCTCACTTCTCTCACTCTCTTGCCCACCTCCCCCCCACTCCCCGGCATCTCTGTTCCTCCCACTCTCTTTCTTTCTCTGTCTTCTTCCCATCACTATCCATCCTTCCGGTACCACCTTCCATGGGTTTCTATCTCTTTCCTAGCTGGCTGGCTCTGTCTTCCTCTTTGTTTCTATGTTCCTCTCTTCCTGGATCCTGTTCCTCTGTCCCTTCACCAGCCTCCCCCCCACCTGCTGCTGTTCTCTTCCAGGACCCTCAGGAGGCACTCCGCTCTTCCCAGCCCAACCCACTTCCGCCGTCCTAGCCAAGATTCTCCACCCCCAGCTAGCAGGGATGGGATAGGACTTGTTGGGGGCTTCCTCTCTCCAATCTGGCTTTCTTTCTCTGTACCTTGCGTCTCTCAAGTCCTGGGCTGGATTTGAGAACCAAGCAAGATGCAGCAGCTGGAAGAACCGGGGGTTTGGGCCTCCCTTTCCACCTGCCCCCTCTGGCTGTGGAGGAGGACATTGACTTGTGAGTGAGAACTAGAGGTTGGGGGCGGTCTAGGGCTGGGGGCGGAGTAGGGAATGGGGCGGGTATGTAGGCTCCACAGGAGTTCGCACAAACCAGTTGCAGATTCTGCACAGCTGACCCGGAGTGTGCTTGCACCTAGAAGGCTGCATGACAGAGATAGGATGAGCAGGATGCCTGCCTGCCTGCCTGCCTGCTTGCGCCAGCGCAGGGAGCTGGCCTCGGGTGGTAATGTCTCTGGTGTGCCTTGACATCTGAGTCTTGGGTACTGAAGGCTAAAATTCGTGCACATGTTTGTATGTCCGTGTAGAGTGATGTGTGTGTGCACACAGTCACACACATGCTCTGGAAGGAGGTATCGGTGCATCACCAGGATGACACTGAGTGTCCTTGCTTTGGGGCCACTGCTTAGGTGTCCTGTGGTCTGTTGTGTATCGATCCTGTTATGAGTCTGAGCAGTGTTGTGTGAGGGAAACAGAGAACCAGTCCCCACGTCTCCAGTGTCTGCACTGGCTGCTGCATCTGCAGATGGTTGTCCTCTGTCAACTCCCAGGGAGACAGCTGCCTTCCGCCCCATCAGTCCAGATGGCTTTCATTCTTTCAGCCAAATTCTCATTGTACATGTCAGTGCTCAAAGGATGAAGGGATCTATAGGGCTGTGTCTGCCACTCTCAGAAAGACTGACTCTCTAGGTGTCTCCCCTCCCTTCTCTGTGTGTGGGATAAAGCCATCTAGACTACTACCTGGAGACCCAGGTATACAGACTAGCCCCAAGTCCGGGCACTGTGGGGCATAGGCAACCGATAGAAGTTCTTAAATTTTTTTTTCTCATCTGGGGGGGTGGGTGGGATATGAATATCCGCCTCTCATACCTGCTTCAACATTTCCCGAGATATAAATGTTCTCCCGAGCATTTACATGTACCAGACACTGATTCTGAGTGCCGTAGAAAAGCAGAGATGTAGATCCAACCATCCGCCTTCATGGACGTTCTAGTCTAGGCTTGAAAGATGCATGGCAAGACAAGGTGTGCACCCCGTGACAAACGCACAAGAACTCTAGAAGACACCCAGCAGGACCGGGACCCCAGCGGGTCTGGGGCTGCTTGGGGACTGGCTGGGATGCTCGGTGAGAAG